GATGTCAGTACCTGGCATATCCATCTGATCCCTTTGGCAGAGCCAATGGACCCCAACCCCTGTAAATCCAGCCAATCACACCAGCCTATCCCTATGTTGAGTCCATGTGAACCTTTCGCTCCAGTGCAGATGACCTCCCCCATGGCAAATTCAGCACACCCACCCTAAAGAGAAATGCATGCTTCCTGTTACACCACTAACCTGTTCTGGTTGGCAGCAACTTGAGGTCTGCTTAATGAGTTCACTGGGAGCATTTTCAGCCTTGAATTAGAAGCAAATGGTAAGTGAAGACACTTCCCTGCAGCAACAGTCATTTGGGGGCAGCCCTATGCATGGAGGGTACAGCTGATCCAGGGAGCCTGTCACCAGGCCTGCCTTTGGGCAGTGGTGGAGAGAACATCCCCAGAGGTCCATTCCCCTGACATCTCAGACACTGGCAAGGATTTTCTGTGTTGGCTACAAGATGCCAATGCCCAGCCTGCCACCAGATGCTGAGCTGCTGGAGCAGTGGGGGCAGGGCCTAGATAAAAGCATGGTCACTATTCACAGAAATCTGAAATGTGACATTATACTTTATGAGCATCCTTAAAAACCTTGGCTCCCAATAGTAGTCAGCTCCTTTTCTTTCCCATTGCATTATTTTGCAGATGAGTACATCAGACGTGAGAGTCTCAGCATCTGGGGGAGCTTTCACATATGCTGGAAGAGCAGCAAAAGACAGGAGCTTGCAGAGACAATGGAGAAGTGAAGGTGTTGGCAGTGCAGCAGGGAGGGCATGGACCATGACTCCACTCAAGCAAAGCTAGTTGGATAGGCAGAAAGGTCAAGGACAATTTAGGGGAATAAATCATGCAGTCAGGCTGTTGCACATCCATATGGATCTGCCCATATATATGCATAGTGCAGGATAACACAGAGGACATTAGTGAGACAGTTTACAGCTATTTATGCTAAGATAGTGGCAAGCAAATAGCCTAGGCTGGGGTGGAAACTAATTGCCTGAGGCAATCAGAGATTTCATTCCCTCCGTTCCCCTGCCTGATTGGCCAAGTGCATCATCCGGAGCATTTGACTCCTGCCTTCTTGGAAGGATCAGATGTTGGGAAGTCCTGAGGCAGGGCAACAAGCTTCCTGTGCCTCCCACCCAGTCCTCTGTTCTTAAATGATAAGGCAAACCTGATATCTTGTGGGTCATTTTGGCTAGGGACAGGTCCTCAGTGAGTGCAACCTGGTGTAGCTCCATTGACTTCAAAGGATTCTACTGACACCAAATGGGCTGAAGCAATTTACACCAGTTGAGAAGCTGGCCACCAGGCTGTGCATAATACAGGGCTCTTCCCATCCTAACTCCTCCAGGGAACATCTCAGGTGTACCCTCTACCCCCCATTGCTCACACTTCATTGCCCAAGAAATGCAAGACGAGCAAGGGGACAACTCACCCTTAGTCCAGGAGACAAGCACTTTCCCAGCTTTAGGGCTTTTAGTAAAATTGCTAGCACATGCATTAACAGGGCACAGCCCAGCAGCCCACTGCCTGCCCTTGCCTAGGGATCACAGCAGAGCGAGATGGCTAAGCCTGCAAGACAGCCACCTTCCCACACAAACCCTTTCACCCAAAGTGCAATAACGCAGAATCAGAAACATGAAGCAGGACCTGAATCTGGGTGTTTCTCCTGCCGCAAGTATGTCCACAACAAGCACACCACTGGCACTGCTGTGGAGCCTGTCATAAGGCAGGACAGGCTAATAGTTAGCAACTATGGACTTGGAAGGTCTTTGGGTTCTAACCCCACTCTTGAGTCCCTGGCCCTGGGGGTGACCTTGGGCCAATCACTTAAGCTCCTTGGGTCTCAGTCAAACCAAGCTCTGTGGCTGGGTGAAAGCAGGAACCCTGCTGACAGCCAGCTGCTGCCTTGAAGCTGAGCCTTCATGAGGAAATAACCCACATGCACGCAGGGGTGATGTGAAGGAAGAGGAAAAATCTACAATTAAGTGAAGCACAAACTTTGACCTGAAGCAAGGAATGGCGGGGGAGGGAAATGCAGGGTCCTGGCTTTATGACACAGTTTACTAGTCAAGGGCCTGGTGGCAGGAGTGGGGGAGAAATGTCACCAACTGAAGGCCCAGTCGAGGATTTCTCAGAGGTAGTCATTTACTGGCACGGACAACAACAAAGGTGAGCCACATGGTAAACCAGATGTTGTGTCCTGTGAGACGTTCTCTTGTGACAGTTTCTCACAATGTCCAGTTGTGTCGTCTGACATATTGTTGCCTATTCACTCAGCTGTGGTTGGGGGACAGTGGATGGGTCATTGCTGCACCTGCAGCCACTAAAGACCTGCCTGGGGGGAGGCGTGGGCTGCTCATGGCTAAATCCTGGCTACTTCCTTCTCACTCCCCTGCTACCCAACTGTCTCCCCAGTGTGAAGTTCCTGTGCTTTTCCTTGTCTCTTGCCCTTCAGAGCAGCATGCTTCTGTTGTTTGGGTAACTGGCTACATACATGCACCCTGTACAAATGCCTTTCAGATGGAACTTCCTACAGTACAGAGTTTGTAGACAGTACACTTGCCTTGTATAGTGCAATGTATATATACCTACTTCACATAGAACCCAGTGCATATATATGGTACCTATCTTGTATACTGCAGTATATATTCTCCCTAGCCATCTCATACAGAACACAGTGCTTAAGAACTACATCATATGGTATGTTACATAGCGTAATGTGTATTATATACTCACATACAGGGATTTTTTCCTGTAGAAACGAATACACACACAGAGGGCCAAATAAACTGATGGGCCTGAGTCCAGACTGTCCTGGCTTACACCTGCCAACCTGTTCTATGCGCACATTACAGCATCTCAGACCCACCTCTAAATGCTCAGCCCTGATCACAGGTAGGTGTACACCTCCAGTGCCCCCTCTGTCCCATGTCTGAGTGTAAACGGGA